TCAAAAAAACCCAAGAACATATTAATTCAGAACATATTATATAGTGCAATTTGGACAGCCTAACCCCAAAATATATAGTATATATATAAATAAATAATTATAAAAGTATAAATCGTAAAAATTAAAAATATTTTTTCACAGTATAYATAATATATAATAATATAATTAAGTCAAAAAACTATTTAATATTAGACTCATTTCGAAGGTATTAACGAGACGATTATAATGATGTAACTTGTTAAAATAAAAATGTACTTTTTAAACATGTTTTAATTGATATACGATTATGTATGTTAATTTGATAAATGTTTAAAATGAAACATTTAAAAGTAAAGGACGTAAAATAAATAAATTAATTAATTATGAGGGTATAAAGTGTAAATTTAAAATTATAATTTAAAAAAAATCGATGTGAGAGAGTGAGTGTATGTGAGGGGGTGAGTGTATGTGAGGAGATGATGGGTGAAAAAGTGATCTAAGGGTAGTATAAAGGGTATTTTGGTCCTTTAATATTTTAAGACTTTAAGACTTTTGTTAAATTTGCTTAATAAGATAGTATAGATTAATCACTAGGTATTAATACTAGTAATAAATATCAGTGTTATAATTGAAAAAGGTGTCAAAAGCCAACCAAAACGCTTCTCCAACTAACATTTCAATCCAAATGACAATTCAAAAAATAAGCTAGTTTATGTTTGTTTAATAATGACTCTTAACCATTAATAAAAGTGGTATTACATCAATGAAGTAATTATCCAATTTATACATGTAAAGCAGCAAACAAACTTCAACAAGAGATGTGTCGGTAACTTTGCAAATGACAAATGCATGGGGTTGAGGGAGGAGACCAACAAGGAAGTGATTGTTCTTGCATTCAGCTACATACATACATCAAGAAAATTAAAACTAAAAGACAATGTATTCTGTTAATAATAATTAATAAGCCATAAATATGGAAGTAAACTCTCTTTGCTTTTTTAAAACATAAAAAGGAAGAAAACACCACACCACACCTAATTAAGGAAGATATATATAATAATAAATAAATAAGTAGATATCCTTTTTTGGTTATATAATAATGAAAACAAATAAAAAAATTTAAAAAACAAAAGTGTTTCAACTACATCTTTTTATTACAATATTACATGATCTTGAGACCAAAAAGTTTGATGAAACCATGATATCCTGTGGGGTATGAGCTAGACTATCACATGTGATGCTAAATCATAAACGCATACAATCTTTTGGGCGACCTAAGTCGTAGAAAACGTCGTCCGCACATTACAGGGTCACATCACGCGTATTATTACATGTGATAATGGTGTTTTCGCGTTCTTGTAAAATGGAGGTGTTCTCGTTTGAACCTCCACACACAAACATATATATATATATATATATATATATATAT